AGTTAGCTGGACGGCATTCTATTAAATCTATTTAGTCTCCCACCATTCTTGTATCTTTTTCTGAAGATACACAACTGTAGGTAGTATGCAATGAAATACCAGTATTTATCATTTTTGAAAAAGTGTTGATATATTATTTATAAATCTCTGGTTTAAGAAAATAAGAAATAATATATGCTTGCATAAAATGACCAATGACTAGAAAATATCGTTATCAACAATGAATTATAAAAGTAATAATTAAATAGGTACAATTATCAATTATCCTGGGAAGGGGATATTGATCTTGTTGCCCGACCCATTTGGTTTTTGTTCTATACTTATCATTCGTGTACTATTTTACATGTATGTGCTGCAGTAAAAAATATTTAGACTAATTGTCATTTAATCAAGTGATTAAATATAATAATACTGTCAGTTAAAAAAAGGTTATCTTATCTTATCTCAAAATTAAAATTAAATGTAGATCTACCTTTTATTATGAGATAGAGGGGGGTTTGTATGATGTACTCTTCCATGTATATGTATAGGGAATGTATGTGGTTCAAATGGCCCCGTAATCGGTTAGTGGACTTTTTCTTGAATTAGATGTTTGGAAAAAATAAATCGAACAACTGTACTGTAGCGAGTTTTTATATATACTTTAAATTTATTTGTGAATTTAATAACTTTTACCTTGCCATGTTCAAGGCCGTCGTCGATGGTCCGGCCAGTCCGGCCCTGGCCGGACCAATATTTTGGCCAAAAATGAGTTTTAAAAAAAGAAAAAAAAAAACACGCATCGCTGATTAGCAATTAGACACTTAACTTGCCCCTTATGCAATGCGCGGTAACATACAAACATGACGCGAAGAAACAACTGGACACTGTTAATTGACCAGGTATATGTAAGGGTCCTACGAAGACATCGACGTGGCTTCGGACAGTTCACTGAATCACAATTCACGATATAATAGGAGTAATCCTGAATACACACATATATATGCTTACAATTCTTTAAATTAATTACATCTGTTCACATACAAGTATCTTAATATGAATAGTTTAAGATAGTTAAAATACCATGATGTGTGACACAATTCTATCAGAACCAATTCAACCAAAACGAACATTTGGTGAGTACATATAAAAAACAAAACAAAAAACAGTGCCTGAATTTTGCAATATGCATTATGAATATCTTAAACTAGTATGCCTGAATTCTCCGAGAACTTGATAACATTTTATTGATTGTACACGGCAACCGTTCAAAAGTCATATTTTTATCACAGTCATATTGATCAGTGCCGTTTTTGCGACTCCGTGAAAATGGTATTGCACGGCCGTGCATATATTTTGACGTCATTTGCGTTATACACACTGAATGTTATCGTTTTTCTATGGGCGTCAATGAAAAATGGTTCTTTTTTCACTTTAAAATGTCCTTAATTTTGGTATGTAATAAACAGAATATTAAATTCGTGTAAGTTCATACTGAATGTATTGAACTCTTTGAATAAAATATTATACTCGCAAGAGGCTCGTGTAATATATTTTCATTCAGCTCTTGGAAATAAATTCAATAGTAAACTCATTCAATTTACTCTATTACATAATTACAGTGCAGGACGTGTTCCGGTCTAAGTACTTTGAAGCACTCGATCTTGCAATGGCCAATGTAAAAGAGAGATTTGACCAACCGGGATATCGCGTACTTCAGAACGTGGAGGATTTACTCATTAAGGCCGCACAACCTTTGAAGACCGAGTACACTAGAAAACTTGGTTTTGTCTGTGATTTCTATGGCAACGATATTAAACGAGACCTCTTAGAGGTGCAGCTTCAGCTGCTACATTCACATTTTGACAAAAACAAAAAAATAGTACTGTTACTCTACCTGGCTCTTTGAAATTTGTTTCAGTACAGTCAGTGCTAGAATGAGCACTGTTCTCTAAGGTCGTTGTGTTGTTAAAGATTTTGTTAGTAATGCCTGCTACTAATGTTACCAGTGAAAGGACATTCTCGGCGCTCAGAAGAATAAAGACATACCTGAGATCGACAATGTCTCAAGTACGTTTGAACAATCTAATGGTGTTACATATTCATAAGTACAGGACAGATTCACTCAACTGGCGTGTAATTGCCGATGAGTTCATTACCACCAGAGAACGACGGCGATGTGTTTTTGGAAAATTTACATAAAATGAGACTCTGATTTTTGCAAGATTATTGTGAGCAAAATACAAGTTACTGCTAAACAAAAAGCGGTTATTGTTGACTCGTAATGTACTATTCTTCCATCATGGCATCGATTGCTATTTAAGCTTATACCATTGTGTGATTTATGTTAAACAATAATCCACGTACTGTAATATTTCTTGTATTTGTTTATTTATAATTATCAGATAAAAATGCATCTAAAGAATTATAACAACATTAGTTATTGTTTATTTTTCATTTGCCAAATATCAATTACATGTATTCATCTTTTAAGTACACCTGCCCGTCCGTTATGCAAACCTTACACCCTTAAAACATATGACGCACTAAAATCTGTAAAAAATCGTTGACATATTACTATAACTTGTACTAGCGACAGGCTGTAAACTGTGCCAAATATACGGGAAAACGCCCCTGAGAGCATCCTAGAATAAAAAATTTTCCGGGGGAGCATGCCCCCGTACCCCCCTAGATTCTGGCTAAAACATACCAAATTGGCCGCACCAATCACAAAATCGTGACGACGGGCCTGATGTTATATATTGAAGTTCTTAAATTTATTTGAAGATCGAATGTTCGAGGTTACGATAGAGTCGTAGTAATTCCTCCCCGAAACATTCCAAAACGTACCTTATATAGGCATAACCGTGTGCACGGGTCAGTGCACGACGATACTTACATTCCCAGCCAATAGTCATCTTGTATTGAGGGTAACTAGGGTTATCCGATTTAATTAAGGAAGTTTCCGCACAAGATCGGTAGGCAGACGATAAATTGACAAGGACTTTTGGCGGGAAAAACGTCGGCTATTACAATTATGTCTAGTCTTCTATAAGGAAATAAAACAAATATATGCAAAATATACACAAACATGTACATTTCAAACAAAATGGATAAAATTTATGCTTAACATAAAGTGGGGCGAACTGTCACTGATTGGGGCGGATCGTCACAAAAGTAAGGGCAATTCGTTTAAGGGTGAATCGTTAGTGGGACGAATCTCTATAAAACCACCAATTTAGGGTTGTCATGCCTTATTAAGGTTGTTTTATGCACGGTTACTTCCCTTTTAAGCGACTTCGCCATTGATGATCTATCTTTCTCCAGCTGTTTGTTGGCAATTTTTTCTACTTGTGGTATAATAGAACTTTCAAAGGTAAGCAAAGTAAAAAAAAATTAGAATTAAGATGAGCTCAATACACTACACGAATTACGGACTGGGCGGACCGGGCGGACCATAATTATTTTGGGACAGGGTGGACCGTGATTCGAGATGAGGCGGACCGTGATTTAGTGTAATAAAATTTTTAAATATTGATTTTTCTCTGTTTTTCTTTTAATATCATTATAAACATATACATATAATTAGTGTTTGAAATTATTTTTTGTCCAATAGGATTGCAGAATTTCAAATGAATCGTAAAACATTTACTTTGAAAAATCGGCAAATTAGTAATATAATCAGTCTAGTACATGTAAATCGAGTTTTTTATAAAAAATAATTTAAAACACTACTGTAACCTGGTTAGATCTATAAAGAAAATTAAATTTGTTGCACGTCTGCGCAGCACCTGACCAATTTAATTTTGTTAATACCTAGGAATAAACTTTAACCACGGATTTATATTACAAGGATCGGACACTTTCTTTCGTTTAGCTTAAAGTCCCGTCGCGCGCATGCGTGGAATCGGATAAAGACATCATTTAGTGAATTAATATACATGTATACATTGTATATTAATTATTTTTTCTTCGTTTTCATATTGTAATTAAGTAATATAAATAATCTATATTCCTCTATACAGCTAAAATGTTATGAATGGTATACAAAATATTACAATTAAAGTGATTGTTTCAAGTTTATATTAACATAAGCGCAAAAGGAAAATATGTTCTATATATGAGATTTTCTAAAACCATTCCCATTAGCTTACACTACCTATTTTATACTTTTTTTAAATGTATGGGTCAATATCTATAATAGTATTAGTAAATATAAAGTTAGATTAATCCACAGTCCGCCTTATGATGTGTGCACATGATTAATACATACATAAGTAGATCTTAATAGTATTAGATCAATGTTTAAACTTTTAAATACAAATCTGTTCAATATAAAAAAGGCTTATAGATACGACATGTTTAGGATGATAATGATGCCAAAATATATGTAGAAAATTAAATAGCAATATTTAATTTTAAAATATATACATGGCCCGCCTCGTCTCGAGTCAAGGTCCACCCTGTCCCAAAATAAGGTCCGCCCCGTACAAACATGCCCTGGTAAGGTCCGCCCTGTCCCACGGTCCGCCCTGTCCTACGACCCACTATACAACTACCATAGTTTTCATCAACATTTCTTTCAACGATTGCTCAGTTGGTTAGACCACTCCCGAGGTCCCGGGTTCGATCCTGGGTTATAACCTTGGGATTTTTTAGAGACACTTTCAGTGTTTCCCACCTACCTAGAGGTGTACTGGTAAGAAATCCAGGTAATCCTCGCATGTATCAGTGTAGGGGTGTGTATTGTCGGGTAAGTGACAATCTGATCCGATCGAGATCCAGTACTTGCGATTCACAAATCGAACAATGAATCTTTTGTTGTCAAGACACCCATAAAAACATGAACATTACTTCTGAAAACATGTTTATTTTTCTTTAAACAATACTAACCATTAATTTCATTAAAGGTTGAAAACGAGTCGCGCCAATATAAAATTCCACAGCAAGAATTTCCTTCCAGTGTTTGAAGAAATACTTTGGTATTTCAATTGAAAATGAGGGAAAAGCGGTTTGTAAAACATGCTAGGCGAACTGACTTATACCGGTGGTACAACAAACTTGTCTTATCACGTTTCAAACATTGGTGGTGGAATTTTATATTGGCGGGACTCCATTTCAGCCATTGTTGCAGACAGGATGTGTGACGTCACACTCATGTATTAAATAAAACCGTCTTCGATACATGTTAGTGATGTCACGTTCATATATAAATCTATACATAGCGACTAAAAAAATTTATTAATTTTCATGTAAAAACATAGTGTTCAATAGAGATGAAATGATTCCTTTTTCGAAACTAATGACTTCATCGCTCAGCATCATTGTATATGTTTGTTTACTTCCTGTCTTTAATTGGCGAATTGTATTTAAATAAACGTCACATAATTCATACTCGATTTTTTTTGTTTACTTTAAAGTGTGAGAAGCATTAGGTTACTGTACGGCGGCCAATGACAACCTTATTGTACAGTGACCTGAGACAATATGAAAAGGAGGTAGCCCTGAAAAGGGCTGACATTTTGCCAGTAAAGGGCCTGCCTTTCAAGCCGTCAATTGCTGAGCTAGGGGCTCACGCACACTAGAACACTTCCCTCCTCGTCCCTACCTCATTTGTAGAGCGACTCCCCTCGGCTTTAGGTAAGGACACCGGCAGTTACCTTCAAACACATTTACTTGTGCTGCCTTATACTTAACTCTGATCTGTAGAGAGCATGATATCTTAAGGATCTATAATCATCTGCCTTCTCAACGAAATGCATATACGGTGATACCAAGGCTTTTGTCTCTTTTTTAACACTGTTTAAACCTTATTTAAACCTTATCATTCTTACTAGTGACAAAGTCTAGGTCCCCATCAAGGGTTTGACTAAGTGGATGGATGGATTTTATTGTTTTAAATAAAAATATACAATTGTTATATATAAAACTACATGTATCATTACAATTTTAGGCATAAATCAAAAAGTAGACTATAAATTAGAAGTTGTTGCATAAATCTGTATGTGTACATGTTGATCTGTTGGTAATTAGATAGTCACAAATTTCAACTGAATGCTTCATAGGAATTATATATCTCAAAACAATTCTAAACTTTGACTTTGAAGATGCTAATAATGTTTATTCCTACTTTTTTGGTTATAAACTAAAGGACATTTTTCCATTGAAGAACAATGGTACAGTGTAGAGGTTTCTGGTCCAGTGTATGGAAGAGAATGTGCCATAAAAAACATGTAGACATGAATGATACAAGCACTCGACTTCAAAGATGTTTATCTTTGAAACGACTCATCTTTATTGGAATTGGTAAAACTGTTGGAGTAGGAATTTATGTCCTTATTGGCGAGGCAACTAAAGATGCAGGTATATATTTAAAGATCTAAATCATCACGAGGAACTATTAATATAGCTGAACATTTCTTTATTAGTTTACCATTACCAAATGTTTACGGTTAGCTTTTAACATTGATAAATAGGTCAGCCTGTGTGACTTGGTACTCCATCCATGGGTCAAGGTCTAACACTGATAAATACTCCAGCCTCAGCAACTCAGTACTTTAATGATGTCAATAAAAAAAACAATTCATTAAAGTTTACTTTTTATGACATGAACAGTGAATGAATTGTTAAAAATATTAGTATGTTTCATCAGGGTTTTTTCCAAGGAATAGGGAACATGAGCCATACCCATGAAATTGGGAATTTCTACGCTGTTTTGTTAATTGGGAAAAATGCATGACTATGACTTAAATTTTGCAGCAAAGAATAACTGTCCAGGATGGCATCTGCAAACATTTAAACACCATAACAGTGGAAAAGCCCTTATTTTCAAAGATTTTAAAATTTGTTATTCAATATATTTATTTTGAAACTTTCAATTGGAATTTTTTCCTGTGGATTTGGAAAATATTATGCTATTTCAGGTGGGAATATGACTGAATATTGTCTATAAAATAAGCCCAAAAAATCCCTGATCATATTTTGGTGAACCTTTCTTGATGATTTGATTTTTATATATATACACCATACAAATGTACAACATTAAAAACCAACTTGTCAGGAACATATATGCACTATTACTTTGATAAATTATTATGTGTTATAATTATTACATATTATTATTACATAGTAGTGAATATTCATTAATTGGATCAAATTAGGGTGCTTGAGTCACCATCAGAGGTTACGGTTGTTGGTTTGTTAAACTTTATTTTCTTTTACTTAGTCATAGACCTCTACCTGTATGTTGTAATTGAAAGGTCACTGCAGCTGGAAATATGTTTTACATGCTTCCTGTATTAAATTGGAAATCTATGCATAAGATAGATAAAGTAGCATTACTATTGGGGTGAGCAATACAATGACTATTATGGCCTTCTTGTTGTCTTTTGTGTACACAGTAAGATTATGGAGAAATAGATTCTTGTTAATATGAAAAGTTAAAAAGTTACTTTATTAGATTTATTTAATTTATTTATATGTTTTATCTGATATAGGTCCATCTGTTATCCTAGCATTTGTGATAAGTTTTATAGTGACATTGCTCAATGGTTTATGTTTTGCGGAATATGCCTCAAAGAATCCACGGACTGGGGCTCAATATACCTACATGTATGAAACTATAGGCGAAGCTTTCGCATTTATCATAGGCTGGACTTCCATCATAGGTATACCAATACTTTTTTTTTACAAATTTTACTGAATAAACTAATGAAAATCAAAGGATAAGCAAACTTTTATTATTATCATTACATAAATATTTATTGGGAAAGAATAATTTTGTTTAAGTTCACACTCTCTTTATTTTAATAATTTAATGTAACTATTTCTGATTAGTAATCTTGGGCAATTATTGCCCTCTTGCTTTATTAACTCGTGGACATCACTTGAAATAAGGATCTGCACCTGTTACAAGCAAAATTTTTTAAAGAAATGCAAAATGTAACTAGAAATGATTTTGTTTCAAAAACGAAAGTGTGGATGGTTACCAAACTAAAGAATCCTAAAAAGTTTGCACAAAAAGTTAAGTTACATGTAGTCATATACAAGACTATCATCTATTGAGCACAATGTTTTTGTAACCTGAAAAAAGTGAATTACAGGTGTATTTATATTTTTGTCCAATTTTTTAAAGTTACTACATGTAACTTAGTAGTTTAAAGAGCATTAAAGGTTTTTGTTGTTTGAAAAACAATTACTTGTATATTTATTTTCTTATCATTTCTAGGAGTTACCAGTGCATTTTCTATGGCTGCCCGTGGATGGAGTGGATACATTGACTCTTTATTCAATCATAGGATAGAAAATTTTACCATTTCTCATATTGCTAACTGGACGTCACATGGATCACCATATCCAGCCTACCCAGATCTACCCGCGGTTCTTATTATATTAGTTGTAATGCTTATGTGCTCACTTGGTGTTAATTTTGCTTCAATTGTAAATTCCCTTTTGACTGCAGTGGCAGCAAGTTTACTTGTGTTCATAACAGTTTGTGGGTTTTTCTTTGCAAATTTTGACAACTGGTCAAAAATACCTGGTGGTTTCTTTCCAAATGGATTAAATGGTGTTTTAAAGGCATCTTCATCTTGTTTTTATGCCTTTCAAGGTTACGAAATATTAGGAATTTCAGCAGAAGAGACTGTCAATCCAAAGAAAGACATTCCTCGTTCAATAGTGCTAGTGCTATGTATAGTAACATTGCTCTATGTTAGTGTTGCTGTGTCATTCACACTTATGATTCCTTATAATGAGGTCACTATAAGTGCGCCATTTCCCGGAGCATTCGAGTATAATTCTATTAACTGGGCAAAATATATCGTGGAAATTGGACCAATTTTGGCACTTGCCAACATGTGTTCCCTGGAGATGTTTACCATTCAACGTTTAACGTTTTCAATGTCCGAAGACGGATTATTGTTTAAGTTTCTGTCGCATGTGAACAAGTACACCAAAGTGCCACTCGGTCCGATATTTACATTTGGACCGATTGTGGTAATACTTGTTTTAAGTATTGACTTGTCTAATCTCATAGGATTTATGGTGACTTTTACATTCATCCAGTACTCGTTATTTGCAGCGTATTTAATCATATTACGCTACACACCACAATCATATGAAGGGGTAAATGATGGGGATGAAAAACCAACTGTATATTTTAAAACCAGTAAAAATAGTTGTTATGATTATTGCTGTAAAAGAAATCCCATTTCAGTGAAGATGCTAGTTTTTGTCATCTATTTGTCAGTGTTTATACTGTCATGTCTGATTTTGATAAAAGGACCATCAATTGTACACGGGAATTTTGTAGTGACATTGTTTGTTGTGTTACTAAGCACAATCGTTATTGTAATAACCATTATGATCTGGCGTCTGGAGCAACAGGGAGATCGCCGAGGTTATCTAGTGAGTATTATTTCTTGACATATTTCTTATGGATCAATAAGAACATAGATTTTATCACACAATGTTGCTTGTTTCCCCTGTGTGATATTATGAGGTTATTATACATTGTAGAGTACAATACTTAATTCTATTGGATGAGTATACAGCTGTCAAACCAAAATGTACTGAATTCTATTGGATGAGTATACAGCTGTCAAACCAATATTGGACAAGGCGTTAGCCAAGTCCGATATAGGTTTTGCAGCTATGTATGAGTCCAATAGAATCAGTATTGTTCTCAACCACATTTAATGACCTCCCTTTCACATCAACATTTTTTGTCATTTTGACACAACTTTATTTCTTCAATTGCAATAAGGACTTGATATGGATTTTGGATTCTCAAAAAAAAAAAAAAAAAAATGAATACAAGGTTATATGGCAACAAATGTTTAATAATTATTTTATAGTAACATTTTTTTATTATAATATAAGATTTAATTTTCACTTGTCAAAAATAAAAAGCCTGAGTAAAAGTGTTAGATGAGCTTGATAAAATTCGACAACAAAATGTGTAATCATTATATTATTGTAACATTTGTTTATGAAGTTAAGAATAACAGTAGAAAAAAGTTAAATGATAAACAATATTCTTATGTTTCAATTTACCACATGCTGTCACTTGCTGCCATTATGTTTGATGGTCATCCTACTATTGATTGATAATGTTCATTGACAGCACATTTTATTTTACAGGTTCCATGTATGCCAGTACTACCTGTGTTATCAATGTTTTTTAACCTGTTGATGCTAGTGTCTGCCATTGACAAGGGCTCAATCGTGGCATCTATTGTCCTAGCTGCAATAGGTAAGCATATGTTATAAGACACTGTACAAATTTTACATATTTTGCCACCTGTCTGGTCTAAAGGTCAGATAAGAGTCAACTCTTGCACTAAACTTTACAGATTCTTGTAATCCCACATATCCAAGGCTGAGGTATATAGATTACATGTAGGTGTTGTCCTTCTGGTCTACCTTATATTAAGGTTGAAATGGTCTACTGGTATGTTTCTGGTATTATGGTTTAATTGGTCAAATATAAAGGTTAACCTTAACTTTAGATATAATGGTCTACCTTATGTTTAGATAAAATGGTGTACCTTATGTTCAGGTATACTGGTCTACCTTATGTTCAGGTATAGTGGTTTACGTTATGTTTAGGTATAGTGGTCTACCTTATGTTCAGGTATTATGGTCTACCTTATGTTCAGGTATTATGGTCTACCTTATGTTCATGTATAATGGTCTACCTTATGTTTCAGGTATAGTGGTCTTCCTTATGTTTAGGTATAGTGGTCTACCTAATGTTTAGATATAATGGTCTACCTAATGTTTGGAAAAAATGGTCTACCTTATGTTCAGGTATAGTGGTCTACCTTATGTTCAGGTATAGTGGTCTACCTTATGTTTCAGGTATAATGGTCTTCCTTATGTTCAGGTATAGTGGTCTACCTTATGTTTTAGGTATAGTGGTCTTCCTTATGTTTAGGTATAGTGGTCTACCTAATGTTTAGATATAATGGTCTACCTAATGTTTGGAAAAAATGGTCTACCTTATGTTCAGGTATTATGGTCTACCTTATGTTCATGTATAATGGTCTACCTTATGTTTCAGGTATAATGGTCTTCCTTATGTTCAGGTATAGTGGTCTACCTAATGTTTAGATATAATGGTCTACCTAATGTTTGGAAAAAATGGTCTACCTTATGTTCAGGTATAGTGGTCTACCTTATGTTCAGGTATAGTGGTCTACCTTATGTTTCAGGTATAATGGTCTACCTTATGTTTAGATATAATGGTCTACCTAATGTTTGGAAAAAATGGTCTACCTTATGTTCAGGTATAGTGGTCTACCTTATGTTTCAGGTATTATGGTCTACCTTATGTTCAGGTATTATGGTCTACCTTATGTTCATGTATAATGGTCTACCTTATGTTTCAGGTATAGTGGTCTACCTTATGTTCAGGTATAGTGGTCTACCTAATGTTTAGATATAATGGTCTGACTAATGTTTGGAAAAAATGGTCTACCTTATGTTCAGGTATAGTGGTCTACCGTATGTTCAGGTATAGTGGTCTACCGTATGTTTCAGGTATAATGGTCTACCTTATGTTAAGATATAATGGTCTACCTTTTGTTCAGGTATAGTGGTCTTCCTTATGTTCAGGTATAATGGTCTACCTTATGTTTAGATATAATGGTCTACCTTATGTACAGGTATAATGGTCTACCTTATGTTTCAGATATAATGGTCTACCTTTTGTTCAGTTATAGTGGTCTACCTTATGTTTCAGGTATAGTGGTCTACCTTATGTTTCAGGTATAGTGGTCTACCTTATGTTCAGGTATAATGGTCTACCTTATGTTTAGATATAATGGTCTACCTTATGTTCAGGTATAGTGGTCTACCTTATGTTTCAGGTATAATGGTCTACCTGATGTTTAGATATAATGGTCTACCTTTTGTTCAGGTATAGTGGTCTACCTTATGTTCAGGTATAATGGTCTACCTTATGTTTCAGGTATAATGGTCTACCTTATGTTTCAGGTATAGTGGTCTAGCTTATGTTCAGGTATGATAGTCTACCTGATGTTCAGGTATAATGGTCTACCTAATGTTTAGGTTTAATGGTCTACCTTATGTTCAGGTATAATGATCTACTTAATGTTCATGTATAATGGTCTACCTTATGTTCAGTTAAGGTATAATGGTCTACTTTATTTTTAGATATAATGGTCTATCTTATGTTCAGATATAGTGGTCTACCTTATTTTTCAGGTATAATGGTATACCTTATGTTTCAGATATAATGGTCTACTTTATGTTTCAGGTATGATAGTCTACCTTGTGATTGTGATATATGATGTAACAATGAGCGACAAAAACAACATGACAGATGAAGATAATATGAAGCTGTTACAGGGAGAAGGGAATGATGACACTGAGTCAGATCTATGATAGGCACAATAGAAATGATAAGCGCAAAAAGAGGAAAATGGTTTTCACTATTAGTGGATGATTATGATATAGTTATCATTTGCCTTTTTTAATCACCCAGAAGTAAATGGCATAAAAGAAATTATATAAATCATCATTGTTTACCAGGGGAATTTGGTTATTAGATTTGTTAATGTTGATGGTTGGCTGGGCTTGCGTGTATCTCCTTATTTCTTATGGAATTTCAATCAAACATTCATAGAAGTATTGTCATGATGCCGGGGAAATTTAGTGGGGTTTTCTGATATTATTATTTTTTTACCATTCATTATGATGGCTGTATGGGTTGATTTTTATTCACATGTGTTATATATACACGCCCGTTTAACTCACAACGAGTGAAAAATGTCCATCGGTAAAAATGTTGTGAGCAACTTCCGTTCCTCGTTGTGAGCACCCATCTATGACGAGTGACACGATAAACAAGGTGAGTTTTTCATAATTTTTGAAGATTACAGACATTTATGTAAAATTATCGGAATGCAGTTAGCTAGCGATGTGTTTTCCGAGTATGCACATGTAAAGATATTGCCTGTTGGTGGACAATTTGATAGAAATACCATGCGACGCAGTCACTCGGGGTAGCTGGAAAACTGGAGACAAATTCTCTTTGGACCTAATTTAACATTGAAAACGTCGATTCTGGTGACGTTTTGTGCATTCTAACCTAAAACAAATGCCCTCAAGTCTTCAGCGTAAATTATTATCTGAAAGTCTTCGTAGAAACGAAGATATACTCTTTTTTGCTTTAATCCTCGTTGTGAGCACCATTACCTCGTTGTGAGCAAGACAAGCGCAGTGCTTGTCTGGTTTTAATATGTAATTCAAATGGCAAGAATACAATTTTCAATCTACCAAAAGCAATCAAAACGTTTTTGTTCAATAGTTTTTCTTTGCAATAGTTCTTCTTTTTCTTTTTTTGAAAATTATTCTTCATATTCACAAGTCATAACTAATCAGTGGAGGTAAATCAGGTATTTTATTTCGTATACTCTAGTGTGGCACGAGTGAACATCAAGGGGTGTTTATGAATATTTCAACAATTTCACAATCTGTGTGATACACACATACATGTGTTTATCCTGAGCTGAAGACTGACCAAGTTATGTAAAACAAGAACTATCACGGTAAGTTGACAATGCCCCTGAAGTGGTGCTTTGTCCTTTGATTTATGGACCAGATAGATTATTTGTTTTTGGACAATTAGATCTTCAATGTGAAGGTAATTCAAGGTCAAGGTGAAATAAATATAGGTCAGTTGGAAGGTCTTGTCCAAAGGGGCATTGTGTCCAAATATGAATTAATTCCACTTACTTATAAAGAAGTTATGACCAATGTTAAAGTTTTTGGATGTTCTAGAAGGTCATTCACGGTACAAGGTAAAAAAAATACAGATCAGTTTGAAGGTCTTGCCTAAAGGGGTGTTGTTTCAAAATATGAGTAGAATCCGTATACTAATAAGGAAGTTATGACCAATTTTAAGTTTTTGGACAATTTGACCTTCAAGGTGAAGGTCATTCAGGTGTCAAGGTCAAAAGAATATAGGATAGTTGAAAGGCCTTGTCCAAAGATGTGTTGTGCCTAAACATTATGCCAGGACATTATGACCAATCTTAAATGTTTTTGGACAATTTGACCTTTAAGGTAAAGGCCATTCAGGGGTCAAGGTAAGAAAAATACAGGTCCGTAGGAAGGTGCTAAGGGATGTTGTGTTCAAATATGAATCAAATCCGTTTACTAATAAGGAAGTTATGGCCAATGTTAAAGTTTTCGGACAGATTGACGAACTGACAGACGGACAGTTCAAAACTAATATGCCTCCCTTTGGGGTATGCACAACGTCTTGCAAAGAAATGCTGCTGTGCAAAAACGTTTTAATTGCTGTGGTAGATTGAAAATTATATTTTCACCATCTGAATTACCTATTAAAACCATACACGCACTGCGCTTGTCTTGCTCACAACGAGGTTATGGTGCTCACAACGAGGATTAAAGCAAAAAAAGGGTATATCTTCGTTTCTATGAAGACTTTCAGATAATAATTTACGCTGAAGACTTGTGGGCATTTGTTTTAGGTTAGAATGCACAAAACGTCACCAGAATCGACATTTTCAATGTTAAATTAGGTCCAAAGAGAAGTTGTCTCCAGTTTTCCAGCTTCCCCGAGTGACTGCGTCGCACGGTATTTCCATCAAATTGTCCACCAACAGGCAATATCTTTACATGTGCATACTCGGAAAACACATCGCTAGGTAACTGCATTTCGATATTTTTACATAAAAGTCTGTAATCTTCAAAAATTATGAAAAACTCACCTTGTTTATCGTGTCACACGTCAAAGATGGGTGCTCACAACGAGGAACGGAAGTTGCTCACAACATTTTTACCGATGGACATTTTTCATTCGTTGTGAGTTAAACGGGCGTGTATAAAGATAATTATTCTTCTGTGAGCAACTTCTATATTTTCTCAAGGACTTCAACCAAACTTTCATATAATTATCGCCATGTGGTACCTTTGGGTGGGGTTTTGTTTTTTGATGTTTTTTACCTAAATATAACAGTTTTTTTTCACAATTAGTAATATTCTGAGAAATACTCTTCTGTGTGCAACTCCTTCATGTCTCAGGGGTCAAGGGGTTTCAGCTAAACTTTCACAGAACTGTTGTGACGGAAAGGATCCCAGATGTGTATTGTTATGCTCCTGGCTTTCATTCAACATCCTTATTGTTTATTAAGGGAGAATACTCTGTCATTACTGTCTATTTTTTGGAATAGATTATTAGTCCTTTATACTGTGGAGTTTTCAATGACAGTTGACAAAATTTTTCAAGAGATAAGCAGGTCTAACCCCAAAGGGGGTAAGTTTGTGTGTTTGTTATCTTCTTCATTGTTTTTTCTTGTATTTGTGATGATTTTTCTTTTAATTCTTTGTTATATTATTCATGTATTAGTATATTATTGAATGTTTTATAAGAAATACTCAATGTGTGCAAGTCTTCCTACATTTCCTTTGTAAGTTCAATAATCTTTTTACAGGAAAATTGTCATTAAATGCCCTGATGCATATTTTAGGGTTTTAATAATTTTTATGGAATATAGTATGTAATATGTAATAGAGGAATATTCTTCAGTGCACAAAGCTTCTGGCATAGCTGCAGAGATTAACCTATTATTATTGGCAGAAAACCATGTTCTTTAACAAGTCCTGTAACTTGTTTTGCTGTTATAATCATCTTAAATCTAAATGATGATGATGATGATGACATTGTTAATGTTGATGATGATATTTTTGTTGATGTTGATGATGAAGATGTTGAGGAGGATGATATTTTTAAAGGCATATTTGAGCCGTGTCACGACAAAACCAACATAGTGCATCCGCGCAGTCTGATCAGGATCCATGCTGTGCACAACCAACCCTATTACAAGTAGAGAAACTGATAGTGAACAGCATGAAGTGAACAGGCTGGTCTGGATCCATGCTTGTCGCGAACGCACTATGTTAGTTTTGTCGCGACGCGGCTCATTTTATTTTTATATTTAACAAATATTTACAGTACCACAGTTGTATATTATTACATACATTGTACTCATATATTTATTATCTCATTAGATATTGCAATTTTACAAATTTTATTAAAAACATGTATGTATTTTTTATTCATATTTTTTATTTATTTTTTTCTGTAAGAATTCAATTATATTATATATTTTTTTGATATTCTTTTTTAATAGTTTTTTTTATTATGTCTTTTACTTGGGTAGAGGCTTTATAGTTTGAAACAAAAGATGAGTTTTCCTACAAGTACTTAAATTTTGATTTTAGCTCACCTGAACACAAATTGCCTTTTAATGGTAGATAAGGTAAGCATCTTAGATGGGTTTTTTCTACACTAAATGTTTCAAAACAAACTCTTGGCTAGGAGTGAGTGGCAAATTTAATAGCTCTGCATTAAATTTTGTACAACTTATTAATATATACATGTACTTATCAACTTCAACTATAAATATGTTTTATTTTATACTAACAAATGAAATAGAAGGTTTAATTATACATAAATGTTACTCACAGTATATATCATTTACAGTAATATAGAAAACTTTTGCGTTCGTTGATTCCATAGAATTTATGTAATTAAAAAATCTGTATGACTGTTCTTGACATAATTTTTATTTGGTGCACAAAAACTTTTTTAAGTGCATTATGTTTTCCATGCTTCTGTGAAATTTTGTTTTTCTCTTTCACCGATATGACACGTGTGACCTCGACATTATAGTTAAATAAGTGACGGTGAAAGTTTAACTTTTACAGTAAAAATTAAATATATCCGAATAGAATAACGTGAGCCATAGGGACGTCCACCAAAAGTTTGACGGAAATGACCGTAAATTTGCGATTGGCACATGACAATGGCCATACATAATTTTAACCTGTGAGAAAAAAATGAAACAATTACCTCTTCAAAACACCAATGAAGCAAATTCAGAAAAGTATAAACATCACAGAAATGCTAATTACATAGAATGTTATTTGATGGCAATGAATCCCCATTTTTTCATTAAATAATTTTAGTAATACCTAAGGAAGCGTGCTGGTGCCAATTCATATTAATAAGAATGTCTTCAAAATAATAAGAATGTCTTCATATTAATTACAGTGTATTCATATTAATTAGAGTGGCGGATAATCCCTTCCATAAATTCATAATGTTTTATAAAAAATGAATAGATAAAAGTCCATAGGACACGGATGACCACATATTCCACTGTTTTGACAGTCTATTGACGTAAAACAGGACAGTATGACAGGAAATTCTACATGACTCCCCCTGTTCCTAAGTGGTTGGTGCAGAAAAAAGGAAATGTTAAAATCTTGATTTTTCTCAATATTGATCTGCAAGAATTTGAAATCTCAATTTGATATCCTAAAATATGCCAAAAACAATAAAAACGAGCAAAACTCCAGATACACAACTACACATGCTGACCATCAGTCCTATGAAGTTTCATGACTGGATGTCAAATACATTTTGATTACGCAAGACACAGTCAAGTTGCATTTGCATTTTTTACTAAATCAAGGGCAATAACTCTAATAGAACTGAATAAACCCTTACGCAAACCCCCAGGTGCACAACTTTTTATGCTGATAAACATTTATATAAAGTTTCTTGACTCTATCTCAAGCACTTCTAGCGTTTAGAGATATACATGGCAGACATTTTGGAACAGTATTGACTTGGTAAATAACAATAACTAACAAAACTGAATAAATGCACAAGCAAATCCACAGGTGCACAACTAGACATGCTGACCAACATTCCTGTAAAGTTTTATAACTTTAGGTAAAATACTTCTTGAGCTACACGTGACACAAATTGAGAATTGCAAATATTTACGAAGTCAGGAGCAATAACTCAAAACTGAATTAATACAGACATGAAACCCCAGATGAACAACTTCACATGTTGATCAGCATTCCTTTGTTGACTCTAGCTCAAGCACTTAATTTAGATCTATACAATGTATTTGACACAACATGGATCGTACGCACGCAAGCTCACACACGCATGAGGACAAGGGCAAATATAAATGTCTCACCCCCTCTCTATATAACTCCTAAGTACATTGTAGGAGATAAAAAAAGCCTAATTAGGAGTTTATATCGTAGGAGTTATAAACTCCTCATTAGGCTTTTTTATCTCTTAGGTAGGAGTTATAAAGTCATTCGTTGTAAAGTCATTCATAGAAGTTTGAAACACCTTATTAGGATTTTCCGTAGGAGTTTCAAACCCCTTATGCGTTTCTTTTATTATCCATGTCGGAGCTAATCTTTTTTATAGAACGATATGAATTGTCCAATTTGCATCAGTATGTTTCCAGAAATACCTGACAAATCACTGTAGTGACGTTAAACAAACCAGTCGATATAGAGGACACAATATGATGGGGGAAGAGGAATTCATTTTATGATTCTATTAAATGCACCCAGTGGTATAATAATTACAAAGGTAACACAGGAGCGGGAATGGAAGGGCGGAAGTTGATGAATACTACCTGTGGTGTATGTTCAAACAATTTTATGGAAACCTCACTTTTATCCAAAAACATTTTGCTGGAAAAATGTTGATTGTTTTTCGTCTGCTCAATGGATATGAAATGGCGTAAGTGATGGACCAAACGCGCCAATCGCAAGGATAGTCGAGGTCTTCCAATTGTTTAACGCGTCCATTATATGCTAAACGGATGCTGGATAGTAATTTTGGTCTTGATGATCAAAGGGAGATTATTTTATGATAATTTGACCATTATGTGCCAAATATCAGTAATTATTATAATTATTTAAGCTTTTTTGAATCAAAGAAAATACGAACTGTCATGATCGCTGTTTTATTGTTGCCGTCGTAGTTTATCTTCGCAGTTAAGTCAATTTCTCCAACACTTTAATGAAAGGTATAAGCATGACACAGTTGAAAGACAAGATGCATTATTTTCAAAGCTATATTTTGAGAGTTTTGCCACTTTTATTACTTCGATCGTACATGTATTATTATTATTATTTTATTTTTGTGAAAATTTCTTATAAAGGAGAATTATTACTTAACTATTAAAGATAACAACATGAAACCCAATCTGACTAATGTTTAATTAGATCTTCTTAATAATGTTTACCTGTACCGTAGCGTTATTAAGGGGTCGACGATAATGACATTGTATGAAACTTGAATACGACAACGCAATGTTGTAGACTAAGGGTATCATTAAAAAAGCTAGTTTAGAGATATGACCCTTTTCAATTCTTTTTATTGATAGAAAATTTTGAAAACTTTCAAAGCTATATATTGTACTTATATTTGGTATACATGCTGCATGATGGGACTGAAAGATTGGGGCATAACTCGGTGTGTCTAGAGTGATTCCTCTTCTTAACCTGGAAAAAGAAATATTAAACTTTTTTTATACAATTTCTTAAACATGTATAATCACAATAGTATGCCACTTATTGGGAAGTGAAGTACATAACAGTTATATAACCCAATAAGACTAATGAATTACATTTTTACTCGCTGTCCTTAACAGACGGGCGTTGGCGCCGCATATAGTGCTCTTGTTTCACGTTTTATTATTTATGTATATTTTTCACGAACTTTCTGAAATTATGCTGGTCTTTATTTGATAAAATGATTTATATATGAGAAAACAAGTGATATAAACATGCTATAGTTATATGACCGGAAATGTCGGAAATAATGTGTATTATATGACAGCCTTAATGATTATTTTCAAAAGTATTTACGACTTTAAGTAACATAATTCTGTCGTAGAGAGGATATTGACACGTTATGTTAAAGTTTAGTTTATACGTTAAGTTATTTACATCTAATTGTTCAGTTTTCTGTATTTGTCTTTGCTTTGGTTTGGTATGTGATACGCACCTGCGTATTTTATTATTGTTATCAATTATAACCATTGAAAAATTTCTATAGAATTTTATTAAAGTCAATATTGACAAGTTAACTTGATTAGAGAGATGATATAATTATTTTTATATTGCAACAATTGTTAATTTATTTATACATGTATACCTTATAACGTTGTGATGCAGATTATATTGGAAGTGATAATTGGTGCCATATTTAGTGATAATTAAAACGAAACAAAACTTGATAGTGCAGCATCGTAATTTATTTTATTTTCTCAAGTTTACATTATGAGTATTTTTATTATGAAAGGTAATGTAATAAACACTCAATAATGACTTATTTTTTTGTTTTTAATATTCAGACCTTGAAAGAAAGAGTATTTTAGATACAGTTTGCAAGTTAATAGACTGTAAGCGGCTGTTTATATCATCATGCGAATGTTTTAACGCAATGTGACGTCATGTTATAACGTCGTTAATGCACTAACTAATCGTTAACAGATAAATTATTTATTTATAGAGTCAAAACATGCTTCGGTGAACGATTAATTGCTAGCGGTGAGTAACGTGTATGTTTGGCCATCCATCAATTCAACGCTTAACGTATATTAACGTTACGCCGCGACCATACGTTGACCTCGATTTTCGAGCTTGTACTAACGTAAACGTATGATTTTGCATTTTTGCATGCATTTATCACAATTAACGTGGAAATTTGCGTTGTAATATGTATTCTTGTGGAACGGTAATAAATAGGAAAACGTTTCTTATTCAGACTTAAACTTAATCCTTAATTTTGTGAGGCTGGTGTTTATTCAGTTTTAAGTTAGATGGATTTTACAAAACGTGTAATTTTGCTGGATTTTATCCACTTTTCGTAAAAAATAGTGTTTTGTGGTTTTTTTTAATTGAATTAAAATGAAACTGTTTTATCTTTCGGTAATTTTGTTAGTGTTATCTGAGACGAATATTGTTACCGGAGTTCACTCGAGTGTATCATCAGGAGACGTTCGGGAGTATCGCGATATATCGACAACAGACGGTCAGAAGTATCGCGATGTATCGAGGTTAAGAGAGCGGACCGGTGGTAGGATAACTTCAAACATAGCTTCTTCACATACAAATAATTTAGGTATTCGGCCACGATGGATGCCACGCTTTGTGGACAGACGTATATTTCAACATCCACGTCCTGGTACAAGGTCGTTTCAGACATTTTTACGAAATCATCAAGAATTACAAAACCGTCAAAATAGTCGGCCGATTTTATCACAACAAGTTGCTCGTCCACTCGTGTTTCGTCCTCCTTTAAATTTTCGTCAAATGTCACCCACATTGAGACAGTTTGACTTAAGAAAACCTTCACGAGATTGGCATGGAAATAGAAACACGTTAAATTCTCCGCCATCAGTGACGGGAACAAATGCTCCGAGAGTAGATCAGCTGAAAATGGCTGAGAAAAACTCATTGCTTACTTTACTGGAAGAACGTCGATCGGTAATTCGTGATGACAACGATTTGATTTTAATTCGGAAACATCTCATTAAGATAAATAGTTTGGGTTCTAGTTCTGGTCTAAATCAAGATCAGATTTTAGAAAAACAGGTGAACTATATTGAAAATATAACAGATATTGATATACAACGTGAAGTCTTGAAGATCTTTGTAAAAGATATAGTTGAGAAAAGTGGATTTCTTAGTCAGGACGTGTCAAGTGTCCATGACATAGACTCGCTGAAAGCTCTCGTTGATAAAATAAGCTCTGTGACAGATAAGTTCACACAACTCTCACACAAAATTGCGATTGATTCACTGAGTTTATTAGGAGCTCAAACCGGCCTTAACCTAAATGAGCTTAACGTTGCATTAACGACTAGAAGTCCAAGTACAACAACAATCACAGCACGTGCGATCGCTCCAGAACACGTGACAGACTCGGAACACAGTTTGAGACAAAAGATCCTCAATGCTCTGTCAATTTACGATAATAATGCACGTGTTACGCATACGCCAATAGAAGTAAACGACAGAGCCCTCGGGACGTTTCAAAGCCGACAGAGGTCAAACTCGGAGCCAGTTCCGGGGATGTCAATATTTGGTGATGTAACTACTGAGACCGTAACAACAATAGAAAACAAGAGAGGTACGTATTAACAATACATTGAAATAGCAATGCATGGACAAATCAAGCTTTAGTGATGGTCGTATTAGAATGCATTTTACCTGAGACAAAAAATAACCTTTATTTGTAACTAAGGTCATGGCCTGGACTTTGAATATGAATGCCAAATGGTTATATCTTTGATTTTTGCATTCTGTTCGAAACAGAGAAAATATTGTCTCCTTTAATCAAAATTAAAATTAAATTAATAGGACCCAATCACCGACTTGAGAGATTTATTTACAGATTTTGGAATTGACGGTGTCATTAAAGGGTTGGGAGGTGTAATATAAAGGGGGGGGGGGGGCGCAGATTGGCCTACAGGTACAATGTTTGATGCTCGCAGGTATAATTTTTATCATATCATGGTACGCACTTTTATAATAATTACTCATCCTTTAATAAATAAGTGAAACATTTGGAATATGTTTCTGTTTTTCAGACATAATTCGCGGACAACTAATGGACATGATATGTAAACTATGCAGGAAGAGAAATAAGCGGAAATGCATTCGAATGCATTGTTTAAACATATCTTATTTAAGATGACGAATAACAAAAGTAAAAGTTTAAAATGTTGTGATCTTTTTCTCTGATTTAATTAAAGCGACATTTCACTAGATATAAAAAATATGAAGAAAATATCTATTTTCAAGAAGTCTACAATTGACATAATGATTATGTTGCATTTTTAGAGGGTGTGCATATGTCTGAGATAACAACAATGTTCAGCAATAATAATAATTTGAAAGTAGCTCGAGCTAGGTATGTCCAAATAAGCTTTGTTACAGGTGTTCCTAATTGTACAAATTAGTAATTCAAATCTAGTTGCAAAAATAGATAATCATTATAATTAAGCACATGATATTTATTTTGATTAGAAAGGGGCATTATTATTTATATTCCTGGTCAAAAATGATATCGATTTGAAAAGAATGTATAGCAGTTTCGTACGGAATACCTAAACTGTTGAATGAATAATGTAACAAATCTACCCGTTAAAATTAAAATACTTTACAAACAAAAAGAAAATGATCGACATGTCGATTCGTAAAATAGTTTTGTCACGAAATTTCTGCAACAGCGACGGAAGTCTTTTTACAAATTAGATTTCACTTGTGAGTCGGCCATATACGGGCTCCAGGTTGAAATACTTGAAGTCTGTTCTTCATAACAGCCAGTCTATTCTGGCTTTACTTCCAGTTTTTTTTACACCCCTCCCTATGCATGCATGCATAGAACAACATATTGCAATTTTAGAACTAATGTGACACTTTAGAAAAAACGCACGTTTTTTCCCCAATATAATCCCTTCTTACATAAGATAACTTAATGAAACCGTCCATCGACAAGTGTTAAAATCATGATAATTTAAAATAAAGTGTGTAACCATGGTTATTGGCATCCAAGTATCTTTAGAGTATATAACGGACATATTTTTTTCAAAGATACAGTTGAGCATTTGTTATTTTAAGGTATGTTTCAAATAAGGCAGAAAACTTATCAAATCCCATATGTACCAAAAACACCGATTAAACCGGCTTTTTACTGCTAAACATTCAATATTGTCTGTCAATTTAGCCATGTCTTTATGAAGTGTCGCTTTAATAATGGTGTTGTTGTGATTTTTTCCAGTCATTTGATGTTGTTATGTATGTAGTGCCGATGTTGTTTTCTCTTTTTGTAAATTTACATAACAGATACTAAATGAGCCGTGTCACGACAAAACCAACATAATGGGTTTGCGACCAGCATGGATCCAGACCAGCCTGCGCATCCGCGAAGTCTGATCAGGATCCATGCTGTTCGCTTACAAACCCTATATCAAGTAGAGAAACTGATAGCGAACAGCATGGATCCTGATCAGACTTCGCGGATGCGCAGGCTGGTCTGGATCCATGCTGGTCGCAAACGCACTATGTTGGTTTTGTCATGACACGGCTCAAATTAGTTTTTAATTGGTTGCTCACCATCTGTCGTTTATCTTCTTTCATGTGCTGATTCATTGCCATTGTTATTTGTATGTAATTCATTTTATACATATAACTTACAAGACATGATCAATGTAAATTCATGATTTATATTGATGCAGCTCCTAATGTCAACATAAATATCATCAATAAATAAAGTAAATTTCATAAATATCAAACGTTTTTATTAAAACAAGAAAATGAAGTAAACAAGAAATGGAATACATGTAAATACGTTTTAAGGTATTACAGATTTTGTTATTGACAGTGACAAGGCCATCTAAATCTTTACGTTATAAAACTTTGTCATATCTTTTAAACAAATACAAAACAATAACAAAAGTATGTCATCTTGTTTTAAAAAATGTTGAAGATATTGGTTAAATATTTATATCAGTTTAAAGAAAAAAATCAAAAAAATCAACAAGAACAACAAATATATTTTCATTGGACTAGTATACTTTACTTCATCTTGATCTAACTTTAGAAGTAATTTAAGAGATATTACTCGTATATATGTTTGGGTATCGTTTTGAAATCATTAAAAAGAAAACTAAAGAAAAGCATGCCTGATTTTTTTATAGATTTTTTTTTTGGTTAATTGAAACCGATAGGCTTATTTTTCAGTTTAGACGAAATCTTTTTTATTGGTATATAATAAATGAAGTTATGTGACGTTTAAAATAAATAAATTTGCAAGATATAAAATGATTTAAAAAAGGACTGCGTAAATACGTTTTAAACGAACGTTAATAAAGCCATATAGATACATATGAATAAAGAATATAAGGAGAAGTTTAAATAAAAAATTAAAATGGGGGATCTGAACTGATGTAAATATGTTTAAATGAATGTTTAACTACTTATTATCAAGTCAAGTAAATAGGACATTTTGAATAGGAAATGAAGTCATTTGAAGTGCATGTACCTTTATAGCGAAACAAATTAAATAAAAAATGAGGTAAATGCATTTAAACAAACATTTTAACATTGTCTGACGTATAAAAACATAATAAGTTTTTACACGTTTTACTTGAATAAGAATTGAAACATAAATACGTTATTAATGAACGTTTGAAGAAAGGATTGACGTCATTGCATTCAAAATGGACGTTTAAGCTGAGTTTGATTTTCGCAGCCTACACATTTATTGTCAAATACGATTTGTTTGATTTTTAAATTATCTGTTGTCTAGATGTGTTGTTTAATTATATCTTTTTATCATTAAAAGGTAGCGTTAACATTTCAGTTGTACAGGCCTATACTGTTACGAAGTTAAATGTTTTAATTTACTTATATGATATAATATTATGACATTTTTAATACATACCTAACAATTGTTTCTTAATTTCTAAGTTTAATTATGAATAAAGGACAAGGTGAGCATTATTACAACATTTGAACAACATCGCAAATCAATGTCGTAATGACAATAAACATATTTAACAATCATAAATTTAGTTGGTATAAGATATAAACTGTTCCAATTTGTAAGATAAGATTATTTCACGAGGCAAACGTTATTGTACGAAAGATAATAGAAAAAGAGATTTATACAAAAAGCAAAAGCCTTACTGCAAAGTTTTTTTTTATAATAACTTCTTTCTTAACTCGTGAAAAAAGAGCAATTAAAAGATAATGAAATTCATCACCAAGTTGATTATTCGAACATAAATTACATATACATGTACTAGTACTTAAGGTTTCTATGTAAAATATTAAATTCGCTGGTTTTCCTAATTAATTGATGGCCTCCTAGCGACATTCATTTGTATCAATGATGAATGACTTGTATGTTTAAATCTAGCATGGTCTTTCTATTTGAATGACCCTGTGCTAATTAAGTATTCAAAATGTTCATTGTTTTTTTTAAATCGAGTATAAACAATTATCCCCGGCATGAATTAATGCTCTAATAAATCTGTCCAACACCTAAAATATCCTCCGAGATTCGCATTAAATTTGCACATGATAAAGCGAGACTCTTGTCACCTTTTGATGTTAATTACTTTAATTATTATATTTATGGAGACATGCATTATTTACATTAGATATATCAAGTGTGTATTGTGTAATTTCGGTTACTTCAAGACGACCTACTTGATAACAATTTGTGTTTCATTTCCATCAAGAGTTGTTGTAATCTTTCAGTAAACATAAAATGTTGAAGTAAACATAATATTATCATTGATAATGAATGATAATTGAACGTACCTTGTTATTATTGTTCTTACATTTGTTTCCTGACACACCTTTTTTGGCGACTTTATGCATGATTTGAGCGTAATTTATCAATCACTTTTTATTGTCTCACGCACGTGCAATAAAAATACTTTCAAAAATGATAACATACCAATCTTGGTAGTAAGATATTACAAGGAGAGAGATTCTAAAAAAGCTTGTACTAGTTTCTACTCATTCCTGTTTTGCATTTGATTGTAATTATATTGCGTATATATGTTTGATTGAAATGAAATATTGTTTAAACTAATTTTGATATTTCCATATTCTTCCAGTTGATTCTTTCAAGAAAGAGTTTTAACAAGACTGACATTGTTGTTTAATATACACGACGAATATTGTACTACAGAATAAAATGTTCCAGAACAACATAATTATGATTATGCTGATATATTTTAAGCAGAATTTTAACCATTTAAATAACAATAATTTCTTACATACACCATTCGCTCTTAATTAAGGAAATATACAACAAGGTATTTTGGAATTATTCTTTTTCAGAATTCAAATTATAACTTTGTAAAATACCATATTTAATCTGCTTACAAACGAACTTCTAGGATTTATAGCTCAAAATAATAAATTGATGTTGCTCTTTTACTAAAGTGTTTTCCTTTACAAGCGATGTGTCCCTCGTTCAAATATAATTTTAATATGTGTCAATTTGTACTTAAATATTCGTGTTTCTTATTCAAACAACTTTGTGTAACATAAAGAACTATTTTATACTAGACATAAACCACAACCACAATTTCGTGCGTTAATAAGTAGGATATATAGTTCAGATTAGGACATTTAATTAAAACACAAGTATAAACCACAAAGTCGTGCGTTAATAAGTAGGTAAAATGTAAACATTTAATTTACATTTTACGTACATTTATAGTATGTGATTTTCTAACCACAACATTAAAGTGTCGGTGAATAGATCTAAACTATTCATCAGCCATTTTACACTCTGAACTTTCTTTTGATGGGGGCGTATGTGATTCTAATTTACACGGGCTATAACAAACATATTTCAGTTGATACAGGTTTTTTGGGTTGTCTGTATTACGGCGACTTTCTTGCTTTGACGGTGGTGCCCCTACGTGCATTATTTTAAGCACGTGCGGGAACCCGAGCAGAGCTCTCTAGTTAATCATATTGTGTTCCTATTTTCAGGTGGTATTGAGAGTGAGCCACTTGGTGGAAACAATGCCTACTGGACACATTTACGAGCTGGTCTCGTAGACATGCTGTGTAATTTATGTCGACAACAAAACCGTTCATCGTGCATAGTGCGATACTGTAGCAACGACCTCATTAGAACGGAAACAGAAACACCAGCGCCCTCTGTCGTTATTACAGCCAAACAGATATTCTGATGATTAAGAACCCTTTTCCATATGAATTTAAAACTTTATTTTAGAGTGCTTATTAACATATGAACATTTCCCGTTATACGTTCTATAAGTTGTCTTTACCAACGGACATATATACATGTATATACTGGATCAACAACATAGTGGTTGATAACCATTTATTTAAACAAGCATAAATATGCCGCAGTAACGTCGGACCAATATCAACAACAATGCTGACTGAAAGATGCTGTTGCCCGCAACAACGACGAAAAATTAACGAAACTTCTAAAAAACAAATAACAAAAAGAAAATAAAACAACAAAAAACCAACAAACATCAGTTGACTCCCGAGTTGTTGTAACCGTAAACTGAGATTAAAATCCTTTGATTAAATAGTGGGCGTACGTACGTTACCAGAGAGAATATGAACGGACACGTCATACACACGTTGAAGAAAGGTGCTGGAAAATGCATATCAACTTGGAGCTCATTGTGAAACAGGGTATTGTGTTATTCAAGATGAATGAAAGATGTTTTAAGACAAAAAGTGGGAGTTATATACATACTTTAAGCTTAGACACCTTGTATAAATGATGTAACACATCTATAACATGGCCAGTTTTTCTTCCCTCTTCACCAGTTTTCGACATTTAACTTGTTATGCTAAGTTAGTTCTGTTCATATGATATAGCTGTGTAAATTTATTTACCTTCACGGCAGCTCTTGCCTAATTTGATAATAACTATCACACTTACGTATTTGTTGATGAAAGTATACCTTTCCCTAAACGTACATGCCATTTATACTGCAAGTCATGGCCATGTTGTGCTGATACATCGTTTGTAAAATATATGTGTTCACACTTGTCTCCCGTGTTTAGACAAAGTTATACAGAAGATTGTTAAGTAAATTGCTAGGTAATTATTATGTTTTCACCTGTACTGGTCAGTAATGAATTACAGCAGTGATTAATTGACCATGTACTCACACAGAAAATGCTTTGTCACAAAGAGGTTGCAAATATAGAGGTTGGTAATTAAATGACAAGGGAAAATAATACTGTCATGACCTAGAAGTTACTGTACTTTTACCCTTAGAGAATACGTGCATTGTGTTTCACTTTATCAAATGGTAAAAATTAAATTATAATTGGTATAGACACACTATGCCTCAAAAATCTATATTTTTTTTGTAATTCTTTAGAAATGCCAAACATGCGTTTGATAATATTTTAAAAATGGATTAAGAGAATGTTAGATACCCAACAACTGAAACAAGTAGCGCTGAACATGCAGTGATGTGTCGTACAGGTAGCAAAATGTATACAAAGTAGTATTTTGACTTCCATAGAAAATACTAATTCACTAAATATACCATTTGCAAACAGCAAAATAAGCAAAAGATAGATTATGTATAATGGTAAATGAGTATTTTTTGGAAACTTTAACAGGATACCACATATAGAAAGTTTTTGAGAAATCAAAATTGGGGCATTTCTAATTTTCTATGGCATAATGGGCCTTTGATAAATACTTGTACAAGAATATATTTATCTATTACTAGATTTTGGCTCACGTGAATTTTACTAGAACGGATCACATAGGGCACGTGGACACTACCACCAGAGTCATAAACAAGTTCCAGATTAAGATACTCCTATAATTATCTTACTAGAACAAGATTATACGCTGATTAGGTCAGGAAATACGAGTATATCGTGCTTTATTCGGAAAAAATCTCACTGAATTGGAAAATGATTTCATAACATTAATTTATGACAACTTTTACAATCTTTGAAAATATGAAGAAGTACAAAACGGTCACAATATTGTAGCACTTAATTAATGCAGCTTTATAAATTTTATGATGTGTTAAATTGCATATTATTCCATTTTCCCCTGATTTTTACATGATGTCATTTCTGAAAAAAAAAAGAAAAGAAAAATGGATTTTCGTTCAAATGCTTTGTAGTTAATCACTTAGGCCTAAGGCCTTCGTGATTATATTGCTACGTATTTGAACTCAAACCGTGCATTATTCTACAACAATGCACTCAGAATTAATATCTATATCCTAATTATAAAATATTTCATTCTTCACTAAGCAAATAATACATATCATTTCTTCATATTAGAATAGAATAGAGAAAAAAATGACTTGTACATAGCACATCTTCATTATACAATATATTATGATGCATTTCATCACAATATAAAATTTTCGATGCATTATCAATTATATATTCTACATTCTACTATAAATGAGAGAACTTTATATTCGTGCAATCTACGTATAAACAATCCTGCAAGCAAAATTCTGTTTTATATTTGAAATTGCAATTCAAAAATAAAAAACAAACTATTATGTAATGTGTAATGTGTATTATACGAGCGTATTAATTTGTTAATTAGGTTTGTAGGACACATTTTATATAGTATATATACTTCCTTATTGAATCACATGTGTAACAATTCTAAGTGTATTAGTAGGCTATGTAGATGTTATGCGCTATTTGTTTAAAGCACATGTCTGAATAACCTATATAACATTACCCTTCGTTTTGTACAAAGTAACGTACAGAGTTATGTGCAAATGTTGTTTGCAGATACATTTTAGACAGATGCTCTAGTGAGAGAGATGTGGATCATACAAAGTGCGTGCTTCACTGTGACATATATATTCACACGAGTTCAAATAATATCTTTACTTGTATACATACTACCTGTATATATGTTACAATTTACTTTTTCATATTACGTATATTGAATAGAATAGAACAATCAAGGGTCATGTAAAATAGCATATAAATCACAATAATAATGAGATGTTTAGGAAAATAAAACTTGATTTGTATTAGCAATAATAATAAACTGAAAAAAAATTACGTTGAAATTTTCTTATTAAGCTTATATAAATGTGATTTTGGACTAAGCAAAGTTACGTATATTTTTATCGCAAAATTAAATTATTGCAGAAGTCTTTGAATTTCAAAGGTCATTATTTACAGTGCACTATACGGTCATAATTGTACATAAATTGTATTTGAGTAAAAAATACGGGAGGTGTATCTTTTGTATATCATTGTTATATTTACATTGTGTTCGTTTTATTGAAATATTTGTTTATATTGAAAAAAAAATGCATTTCAAGCTGGTCTTGATAAGTTGTAATTGTTATTTACTTTAATTTAAATTTGACATAGGGCGCCTTAAACATTTGTTAACCTGATATCTTTATACAGTTATAATATACTCAGTTCTATGAAATTTAAAGAAAAATATAATAAAAGTATACTTCAGTATTTATGTCTCCATTCTTTTATCGGTCGTATGTACATGTATATCATTATTTGAACACTTGAAATTTATATCCGATTATTTCGAACACAGATTCTTATTTCCTTTTTGGTCATGGCATTTAAGTGTGTTGACTTAAATGTCTCATAGAACCAACGTTTCTTGAATGAGGAACAATTGTGACAGTCCATTTCTAGTTTTAAAGGGAGTCAAGTTAAAAACTGCCAAAATCATAGGCTCAGCTTGGACAACATAGCTGTGTATCTGTACTGGTGTAACATAACATTGCGATCAAAACTAAATGATTATTTTGTATTGAATCTTTGCTGCAGTTCATTCTCTTTATTATGATATTCTTCCTGTGATGCGTTTGATTTTAGAAATAAGAAAAAAGTCGAGCGTGGCACCTGCCAGTAAGTGGCTCCTGTTGAACTTAACTGCGTGATTTTTTAAAACATTTGCCGATGCCCGTAGGAAATACAGCCTGACATATATCAAGTCTCAGGGCATTGTCATTAACGCAAGACTTTATGTGTTTCACAATGCATGTCCATTTAAATATACTAAGTAACTAAAAGACACCAAGACTGGACATTTTTTCGCCCAGGGCATGATTTATACCTTTTTTGTAAAGGACCACAAAGCATATGCCAAATTCTGGACATTATAATTCCATACAAAGTTTTTCTATTAAGATTGTATAAACTAAGTAGCCCAAAGGTACAGGCAATCTTGACATTTGGTGCATAATTAATTTAATTTTTGTAAAAGACCACAAAGTGATGCTGCATGCAAAATTTCAAATTTCTGGTGATTGTAGTTTCTTAAAAGATTTTATTTTCAAAGTATATCTTTAGCTCCCCTGACTTATTAATGCATTAGAGTGGAACCATTTATATCTCTTTAGTAGAGGGACACTTAAAGGGAAAAACAAGGTTAGAATAAAAGCTTGATTTCAGAAAACGAATACTATAAATAATAAATCTGCAAATTTTCTGCCGCCAAATAATAATATTAAACGAATGATAACGAAATTTAAATTGCTAAATCGCCGATTTCTACAAATCAGTAGGCGCGGCCATGTTTGTGTATTGGCCGTATAAAAACAGGTGCGCGTGATGTCATTTCCCCACATCTTTAGATTTATGATAAATCTAGCTGAATCGTAGCGAAACATTTACATATTAATAAAGTATTGACCAGACAATTTAATTTTCACAGGAGGTGTAGAGGCGATTTTTTTATTGTTCAAAATACGTAACAATATAAAAAAAATAAAAAAATAAAGAAACAAATAAAAAATCAACGTCTACCGGTCGCACCACTTCAGGCCAGTGATGCCCGTTACTCCAAACAATGCTATGTTCATTAAAGTCTCATCTTAATGTAATTAATAAATACACATGTTATTATTTAACAAAGTTTCACAATCAAATAATGCAATTAAATAAACAAACGCACCAACGAATAGTTGGCTGTTAATTATTGAACGGCGATAATTATCATTATTATTAAAATCCTACTAAAACGTGCTCTAAATAGTACATGTAATTAAATGTTTGCAGTTTGATTCTGACTTTCAAATTAAAAGGTGTGAACATATGTTAGTAGTGATGTACACATTTCAAAAATATAACCCAGCAAACACATGACGTTAAAATAACGTCGGATTTATGTTAGATTTTGGTCACGACGTCGGCGACCAAAATACGACGTAAATCTGACGTTAAAATACCGATGTCTAATAGACGTTTCTTTTTGACGTCGTACTAACGTCAGGTTATGGTCGGTGTCCTGACGGTAGGTAAAAAAAAAATAATAATCCTTATTCGCTGTTGTAATCATTTAAACTTTTTTTCAAATGTTATTTGGATTACAAATGAAGTGTTCTTATATAAATACAGACCAAGATCGCGGCGCTGCAACCTAAAACATAAAACATATATAGGTGGCGCTGTATATACGCAAGTTACATGTGTTGTTGTTATGAAATCTATTTATAGCCACAGATCTGTTTACAAGTTCCAATCATTTAACGTTGTAATATTATCATTTTTGGTACATTATATGTATCAAAATTACGAGTTTTTAATAGTGCTTTAACATTTAATCATAGTGACAGAAAAGGGAAAGAAAATATAATTAACCTTTAATTCGAATCTAAAGTCACGTGGATGGAAATTCAAATTCGTAGGCGTTACGTTTTGGCTGTCGGTCAGGAATCGGGATGCATTGATAAGTGAATATTATAGATTTTCTTGAACAAAAAGGTCAGTTCAATTTATTTAGATTTAGTTCTACTTTGTATTTGATAAATAATTGCATGATTGAAAGCACTCTTAAATTTAATTATCATTATTTGAACAGCTGAAGTAAAATGTCACACAAATTCGCGATAATGTGTAATAATAAATCTTTTCAAAATTGACATGTTTTAACTCTGCTTGTGAAGAGTTTATAATATGCCTTTCAGTACTACCAAAGAGAATGCTTAGTTCTTAAACTGTGATGTTTTTGTCAGTTAAAATCTGAGAATTGAGAATGAATTTGTACGATTTCGAGATTTCGGACCAAGACGTTTCGGTCCCAAATAACCCAAAACGTTCCGGTCCCAAATAACGCAAAACGTTTTGGTTCCAGACATTTCGGCATTAAATCTTTAATTTAAAACTATGAAATATTTAAGACTTGCGTAACTGTTCTATTTCAAACGTAGAATATATACATAAGTAAGAATATAATTTTCTTTTCAGGTAGTTAAAGTGTTGGACATGCTCTCAAAGGTCGGAGGGACGGAAACACGTGAATATGTAAAAAGAAACATATGAAAGTAAGATTTTTGTAAATTCTATTACATACTTTAATCCATACTTAACTGGAGTTTAAAAGCGGCTTTTTAAATGTCCAGTATTTATGTTTACTTTTAATTTTTGTTAAAGCTCTCTTATAAAAAGTTGGCAAAATTGTTCATTAAGTTAAGATAACCATGAAAACATTTTTGCTTGTTATTTTTACATGTTTCATAAACTTCTTTTTTTCAGTGAAAATAATGTCACACACGCTATTGGGAGCTACAAACGCTATATATCCTCCGGATAGACGAGGGGTGCTGAAAGAAGGTCATATCTTAAAGCATCACACCTCAAAATTCGTGCTTATTCTCATGGATATCTAAAAGTATAACTTTGTGTAGTAACTAAAAGGCAGCAATTATACATTACTGACAATTATCAAAGGAGGTCAAAATATGCAAAATGGCACTAAATGTTTTAGAAATGCTGTAGAAATATAGTTAAAGTAGACTGAAAATCTGTCATAAATTTCTTGAAACATTATTATCAGAATCTTTTAACTTTTCTTAAAATTATAATATTTCATTGTTTTATTTGATGAGGCAAACTTGGATACATTGTTTTGTTCTTTAATATTTGTACATGTTTTCTTAGTTTCATTTATGTCATTGTTTTTGTAATACTTTTTGTTTTGTAATTAACTTATTTTATGTTTTATTTTGTTTAATTTATGAAAATTATTTAACCTTGCAGAATTTACTAAAATTGTATGTATCAGCTTAAAATTGCAACTTTTATCTGTAATTAAAAAAGCATGAAACATATTTTTGCTTTTAGTTTTCTGTTAAACATTTCATTTGAGGGAAAGTTACTTAATAGAATGAGTTACATTAAATTAGATCAAATCAGGATTAGCCAGAAAATATTTATGACGTTGTGAAAGAAAAAGGATTAGGGGAATGATAAGACGAAGGTAAGAAAATGATCAGATTTAGGGCAGAAAAGGGTTAATATTTAGGTCGGAAAATGGTCAGATTGAGGTCGGAAAATGGTTAGAAACTGGTTAGATTTAGGTCGGAAAATGGTCAGATTGAGGTCAGAAAATGGTCAGATTGAGGTCGGAAAATGGTTAGATAATGGTCAGATTTTGGTCAGAAAAAGGTTAAATAATGGTTAGATTCTGACGTCTACCTGACGTCAGATTATTACGTCAAAAAAACTTTCAAATCCAACCGTTTTTCCGACCGTCATCCGACGTCAGAACCTGACTTAAATCTGACGTCAGTATGACGTTTTGTGTTTGCTGGGAAGCAACTCTTTCGAAAAGTAAATTGTTTACATGTCTGTCAACGTATGATTCTTCGTGGTATTTATTTACATCGTAATCGTAGCCTAATATTAACTGCATGCAAAACATTTTTATTGGCTGCTCAAAAATCTCATTTGCATAATTTATTCACACAATTGCTGGTTCTTACTACTTATGACTAATACTGTGTATTATCCATTTTAATTGTTCCTAATTTGCACCAAATGTTCCTGTCACACTGTGTACTAACGGTTTTTATTGCTCCTTGTATGCCTCTGTGCCGACAGAACTTTTGATCATGCACAATGTTGCCCTGATTGGTTAATCACCCTTCAGTTGTCAAATATTCTAATGACGAAATAGACATATTTTTTTACGCTTCATCAGTGAACTGAATGACCTTAGGGTAGTCAAGTTATACTGTAAATTACAGCATTTCATACAATAGCAACACATTTTTCAGTTACCAATAATCATTTTGAATATTAAGTAGATTTATGTTTTTTGTTTTATTGGATTAAATTTACGGTAGTAGAAATGCGTATCTGTGTGGTAAGTAGATAACGTGGAAAAAAGCTATAGGGAACTGGATAAACCCGAGAATATGCGTAATAATAGGGGAATTATGCCCAATGGGCAACCTGTTGCTGTTGGTACCAGTTTTGACTGGGTGCCTAATTAACCGAACGGACAGTTTTTGTTTTCATACGATATTAGTCTAGCTGCCGATTTTCCTGAGCCATTTTATTTTTTAACGTCAATGTCGGAAAATCGCGTCCTCAGGAAATATCTGCATATTGGATTTAGTTGATATTTACCGCTGAGAAAAAGATACATGACCGGCGATGTACCCTATTCAGACAGCTTGTCTAGCGAAAATTAAGTACCAAATAAAAGGATATATCGTCAATTTGAAGAAAGTTCTCAAAGTACCCAAATTAAATTGATGGTTTATCTTTGAAAACTAAGCAG